GTATTGTCATTGAACGTACCCGGACGAATTCGCCTTCATCGCATTCTAGCTGATTCAACTCAAGTCAGTTGTCCAATTTCAACTCAAGATTCAACCCAAGTCGATTGTTCCCAACTCAAGTCAATTATCCATTTACCTATATCCCGTCCCAAAGGAGTGAGCAAAGGCATAAATCACGTTCCATTCCCAAGCTCCGTGCCCTAATCAGTCTCCACTCACTCTCCAAGCAGATCAACGTATCAAACGTTCAAGCCGTCAAGATTAAATAAATTCTCAAATCGATTCATTAAATCTTCTTCATCAACCAAGTGCAGTCGACCTCGTTTGACAACTCAACTCAACCATCAACGTCGATGATCTGTTGGTTTCGTTGATCGATTCATTTGTCATTGAGTTAATTGAAATCTTCTTGAGAATATTGTTTCGTCAAGAATATTGTTTCGTGTACTGTAACTAATCCAACAATCTTTCAATTTCTTTCGTGCATTGAGGAAACATTGTATTGTCTTAGTTATTCATTTATTTTGAATTGCTGTCAATTACTGTTTCAGGATTAACTCATCTTTAAAATTTGTTACTTTAACGACTAATAAGTTAAAATACACAAAATTTAGTCGTTACAGTTCTAACGTTCTTAAACAATTGAAACATCAAGTAACAAAATTGCGTGTATAATGTATTCGAATTTCGAATCGTGCCGATATGTTGAGCAAATTTATTATGAAAATTGGATTAAAGTGACTGATTTGCGTTCTTATTTGGCTCGACTGCGTCGCGACAATTTTTCGGTTCAGAACGCCAAAGTGGCCGCATTGGCAGGTTTGAATTTGATTTGTGTCTCTGCGCCATTTGATAAACAGCATCGTTTTCCTGAACACGTGAATTATATCATTGACAGCGTCGAACCATATCTATCCAACTTGTTGAAAATACGACAGTTTTTGGAATTGGGTCGTGGTGCGGTCGCTAGTGATATGGGTATGACACAAGATCTACAAAAAGCGTTTCAGGAATCGATTAAGATCTTAATTGATGCGTTAAACAAATCTGTAAACTTTATTGATCGCAAGAAGCTTGAGTTAAATTTGAAGTGGAATGAATAGTCGTCATATGAGTGTAACAACAGATGATGGTACTAGCACGGCTCGAACCAGACTATATGGACCCGAAATACAATTGTCTATCGCCTGTGACCTTTCTCCTGTTGAACAGCCGACCGCACGCAAAGGACATAGTTACATATTTTCTTGCTAGCATTTTTTGTTGGTCCCGGTTTCGATCACCGGCTTAGTTTATTATTATTATTATTTTTATTATTACTTTCATGATAGAGCACCACTAGGTAGTTACTAATTTGCTTGTATGGACACTTAAAGATATATGTTCNCTATAGAGAAATTCTGAGAGATTCAACGATTGATTCGTATCCTTATGATAAGGCTGCTAGTTCAAAAGATGAGTGACGTAATACATTCCTTTTGGGATTTTCCAGCGCATTAGCGATGTATTCAAAAGACGTTGAGTTGCCAACTTATTCAAGGTTCAGTGGATTAAGGAATAGGGGCGGAATGCGCAGGATGTGAGGATCAAATGGGTTATGTGATGGTTATGTGAGGTTGGGATTTGGTGCTGGTATGGGGTGTGGTGTATGTTATTATAAAATGAGTCGGTGATAAGGCCGGTATTGAGCCGGTTTTGCCCGGTAATGGTCAGGGGCCTGATATCATTATGGTATGGGGTGAGGCCATAGTTAAGCCGGTTTTTCCCGGCAAATGGCCAAGGGTTCGGTGCAGGCCTATTTAGAACCGGGTTTCGCCGGTCAGTGGCCACTTTTTGGGGTTGTTTGATATGTATGGCGCGGGTTCGGAATCACGCCAGGGTTGAGCTTATTGCACAGTTCTGTTGGTTGGGTGTGGATGCTGTGGATTAGAGACAAACGGACTCACGAATAGGTTGGCAAGCATCGCTCATCCCTGCACTGTTGAAAATGAATCTGATTGTGAGAGATTGAAGTAGCGTTTATTGAAGTACTGTTATATAATACAGCAGTGAACCAAAAGGGCTAATAGACGCAAATACAATTGAAAAAATAATGTAAAATAAAACAAAAAATGAAAAATTTTAAAAATAAAACAAAAGAAGGATTCAGTACATAGGGAGGAGAGAGCTAAATGATTTTACAAGAGATAATATTTGATAAGTGAGAAAAGTCAGCACGAAGAACGAATATGTGAAATATTGGATAATTTTTCACTAGGAGTGCTCTATTATCTAAATATTTTCATTCATTTTATGTCTTTAATATTATCATTCTTCTTGTTATTATTATCATTATTATTATTTGCTGATGATTCAGGTTTTCCTGATAATATCGTAACTATTGTAAAATTTCATGTCATGTTATGTTGTTGTCTGTCGTTTGTCGTTGTTGTGGTTGGTCTGAGACTAATTAATATTCCTTTTGTTGTATTGCTTCGGATATGTTCTCGGTCGAGTTTTCTTTTCCGTTCCTCAATATTGCATTTCCGATTCATGAAAGTCCCCTTCCGAGATTTATATCCTTTTCCCTGCTGATGATTTGACAGATCTACAAATTCGAAAGAGACAAAATTTTGACAATAAGGTACGGGTAGCGGCGTCAGTTCTCCTCAGTGATAAATGAATTATTTGACGGCCTAACGATCAGATATGCGGCGTTGATTGATTTCAGTGAAAGATTTTTTTAGATAAGGCGGCTTATCACACTTGTCGACGGTTCTACGATCCTCTTCCCTTTTTTTCGGTTGGTCTCTTGATGACATGAGAGTAGTGATAATTGATGTCCTGAAAAGAAATGATCGCGAGATTGAAGTGTTCCGAATGATAATGTATGTTTTGTGTGTTTCGAGTTGAGGTTGAATGATATCGAACTGATTTGCTCTCGCGATTTGTTTTTTGTGAACATTTACCGAATGATATGTGTGAATTGATAGTGAAATTTTTCGCATTGAAATTGATATTGACAATATTTTTCGCGGTGTGATGACGATTTTTATGTTTTTTTAATTTTGTTTTAACAATATTTTATGGGATCTTATGACGATTTGATGTTTTTTGATTTGATGTTGATTTTTTTGATGTTGATAAACATAAATTGATTATTGATTGTGACATATAATTTCACGACGCATTTCGCACTGAAATATAAATTAAATCGTTGTTAAACGAAAAAACAATGATTTGATTCCTAAAATATGCTTCAATCCGAAAATCGAACCTATTCAGTATTGTTATTTCTAAAACTGTGCACACTGATCAGAAAATGTAACATGTGTGGATCATCAGAACTGTGGAAGAGGATATACATAATCCAACTTAATGAATCCATCCAGATATCGTAAATTAACTGTTTTATTTATGAGATCCAATATGGGGTGATAATATGAAATGTTGATTCTTTTTGATGTGCATTCAATATTTGAAGAAAACTTTGAGTGAATCAGAGGAACGTTATCAATGAAATTTGTTTCTATTTGAAACAATATCAATGAATATCTTTGGATGAAAATATAATCAAGTTGTTTCAGTTATTCGGATGAATAGAAAGGAAAATTTGCGGGATTCTATTCGTAATGGATT